CGACATGAATGAGTCCTCGCCGGTCGGTCGAGGGCGTTCAGATCCGGAACCGTCTTCTGTCGCACCGACAGATAGCGAACCCACCCACCCGTCGCGTTGACTTCCGAGAAGTGTCGGACGAGCCATGTAGACATTGATAGACCCATTGTCTGATCGGAGAGATCGACCATCGCGCGGAGTCAAGGAGTCAGGTTGAGGCGGTTGCCCCCGGGTGGCGAAATCATCACTCGTCAAAGGGTAATCCAAACCTGGGACATCAAACCGTACGGGGTGGGCAGGACGGAAGCCTGGTCTAGAAACATGGTGACGGCGGCGAGGAGGCGCTTCTCCATCCTCTGTGTCAGAGTTCTCACATCCCGACTCGCATGGCGGCTCAGGCGCAGTGCCAAGTCGCAAGGTTTGCCCAGATGTACTGGTGAAGGAAGTGCTTGGGTTCTGGGAGGCAGCGTTGGACACAAAAGACGAATTGGCACTTGGTGGCTGAGGATCAGGTGTCAACGTCGAAAGGAGGGTATCCCATCCTTCTGGGCTGATACTGCGGTTACGGTCACCAAGTCCATTTACATCGTCAGTCTGCCTCCGTCGCTGTGATGCAGCCAGCTCCCGGGCAGTCGGAAGAGTAATACCTGCACTACGCGTTAATCGCCCAATGGCTGAGATCCGCTCAGGAGGGCTGCGACTCCGTCTACGGGATCGCATTCTCTCCATGCCGAGCATTATCTGCCAACAATGTCAGTATTGAGTATTGTGAAACGGCTGTACGGTACGAGGGGAACTCATATTCCCGCACATGAGCAGCACCTATATACTTACGACATTTTCTCTGCGACTTTGAGCATTGGGGTGGACCATCCACCATTGTGTGCGTGAATCTTGGTGAGTATTATTATCCTCCTCACGACTACGCTGCTCCTCGCGATTGCGCTGCTCCTCGCGATTACGCCGGAGTGCTTCGAGTCCAGCTACCCGTCGCGCCTCCCGTTCCTCTAGCCGTCGCTCCCGTTCAGTCATGTCGGGGCGAGCCAGATCGTCGGATGTCACAAAACCATTGCGAATATACTCGGCCGCTGCGGCGATGCCAGACGAGGTCGTATCTGTAGTAAGAGCCGTCTCGAGGGTGCGTGAAATAGGGCGTCTGCTGCGCTCTTGCATATCGAGCAATCTGGATCGTCGACTCAGTGCAGCACGATCCCGAACATTGACGTACGGGGCACGCCTGATGGCCGAGCGTGGCGGCGAAGCCGACCTCCTCGCCTTTGCAGGGGGTTTTGGCAGCACATCAGACTCGACGGGTGCGACGAAAAGACTGTGTGGTGCCACGATTAGTTATTTAGATCTAGTAGCAGCGAGAAAATACAAGTAGATATAAGAGCACTGCATCAGCATACTAGAACCCAAGATGGATAGCAGATCTTGCGTGTGCGCATGCGGTTACGGTACGGAAATGGAGGATAGAAGGCGCTAGATTGGACGAGATTTAGACGTACGGCAGACCCATGATCTCAGGAGCAGCGATCGCAACAGAGATTAATGAATATGAGTGAATGTGGTAAATAACGATGGCGACAACGGTCCCGGTGATTATCGGTTAGAAACGATGGAGATGCGCGACAGGTAAACGAACGAAGGAGATGGCTGGCTCGATGGTGGATCAGACCCTTGGTCGCGCGGGCGGCAAATGAAGAAAAAAGCGTCGATTGTTGCGCAGCGAGCGTGGAGGGAGGGTGGCACTTGAAACAACGCTGGAGGGAGAAGTGGTATTAGGTGATGATGATGACAATGATGGCGATGTGTCAAGCTTGTGGCGCGCAACGTCAAATGACCCTCTCTTGATGCTCAAGGGTAGAGATGAATTGATGGAGCGGCTCGCGTTGCTCGTTGCTGGGGCGGGCGAAGCGCCCTTGCCTTAGCTGCCCCTTCCCAGCCGCACCCGGCATCACGTGCAGCAGGCAGCCGCTGGTCTCCACTTATACCAGTCCCTGCATTCCTGCGGGATACTGGCGTGAATTTGCGAGCCACAAGTGGGATATTTCGACTTCCCAGTACGGACCACAACGTCCAGAGATAAAGCTCAGAGCAATCAACAAGATTGTATTTTGGCAGTTGTATTCAATTTGTTGCAGCGCCATGACTCTGGATTATTGGCCATTCGCCTTACAGCAAGCTTGTGGCTGTGCTCTAGCAGATTGACTGGTTGTGGCGCTATGTGGCTAGTGCAAGCTAGTGGGGCGTGGCAACTAATCGACTGATGCATTGGAAATTTGACTTTCATCATCCGGGACCCGACAAGGCTTAACAGCACCATTGAAACAGTCGTAATCGGTTCATTGAATTGCTGTATGAGTGCTGGACACTTCTCATGTCTCGAACATAATCCCATACCTTATTTCAGGCGTGGAAAGAGGAGGAGCTAGGCGGACCTGGCATGTCTCGCCATGGCCAATGCCAAAGATGCATCGTCTCTCGCCTTGAGACGGCTCCAACGCTTCATTGCGCCGAAGAAGGAGTCTGCCAAAGCTGTACGTGACATCAGACTGGGACTCGACCGGATATCTCGAGTCGTCCCGGAGGTTCAGCAGTGGCAAGGGGTCCACGTGGGTGGTACTAATGGCAAAGGCTCGATCTGTGCCTTCCTCTCGGGGCTCTTCACTCTGGGCGGAATTGGCTACGGCCGATTCGTGTCTCCGGCATTTCCACATAAGCACAATGCTGTGACGATAAATGGCAAATATGTCAACCCTCGTGTGTATGAGGTGGAGGCGGACAATGTTCGGAACACTTACCAGAGGTTGTTGCAAGGTTGGCAACTCGCAGCAGCCGAGGACCCAGGGCCGCTTTCTCCCTTTGAGCTGGAGACTGCTACGGCTTTCCGAATTTTCAACCGCACCGGTGTTCCCTATGGCATTGTCGAGGTCGGCATGGGCGGTGCAACAGATGCCACAAATGCTATGCGTCGAAAAGGTGTTACTGTCATCTCCAAAATCGACCTCGACCACCAGGAGTATCTCGGAAGGACTCTTGAGCAGATTGCAAAAGTCAAAGCTGGAATTATGCGTCCTGGAGTACCGTGCATCGTCGACTATACTAACGAAAAATCGGTCATCAGGGTTCTAAGAGAGCACGCAAACAGCATTGGCACGCAAATCTCTCTCTCTTGGAAGGCCGAACCTCTCCTTTCAACTCTCAATAATGATCGGTGGAAACTAGAGGACTACCAAAAGCAAAATCTTTTGTGTGCAGCTCTTGCCTTTCGCCACCTTTTCCCCTCGAAACCGATCAATCTGGACAGGCTCTTAGAAACCGAGCCCTACTTACCTGGCAGATTGGAGTGGGTTGGGATAGACAAGCTCACGGATGATCAATACAAGGCACCGGTTTTGGTTGATGCCGCTCATAATCCTCTTGGAGTCCAGGCATTGGCCAGATATGTCGACACAAATCTACGCTCCGAAGATGCCCCCATCACGTGGGTCATCGGTTTCTCTTCGAGTAGCACGAAGCCATTCGACCAGATGATCGAGACTCTCGTTCGGCCCCAAGATAATGTTGCATTTGTGGAATTCGATCAGCAGAGCAACGAGCCTCCCCCGACACCTGCTGCTCACGGGCAGGAAGTGCTCAGAACCATGATCTCTTCCAAGGAACAAGTCTATCAGGGTGAACCCAACCTTCGAGACGCGTTACACTGGGCTGCGTCAAAAGCTGGTGCCGGGCGGCTGGTGATCACTGGCAGTCTCTATCTGGTACGAGACTTTTATATGATGGACGGCGTGCACCAATTCAGGGGTGAAACGAGTACACAGCAACCAACCTCGTCCCAGCTATGGCGTTTAGATAAATTACGAAATGAGCGGGCTTTGACACAAGAAGAGCATCAAGAATTCAAACAGGCCAAATGGCTTTTGCATGAATCCAAGCTCAATAGTGCGATGGACAAAATCAAAGGGACTAACAAAGCCTCGCAATTAGAAGGAAGCCCAGCATCTAAGAAAAAATTGCAACATGAGGCATCCCTAAACGTCTTGGATGACCCTGTCGGGCTCGTCAAACTTCGAAACATAGCTCGCCGACACAGATATCAGCTAAGAGGATATCGCATAGCCATACGCAGCATCGGCAATGATATTGATCAGGAGACGCAAGCAGGAGGAGAGCTCAACAGCGTGGTCCTTTCCAAGCTCCGGGAAGACGCAGAACTTCTCAAGGCACAAGCAGACAAACACTACCTTGCGCTTGAGGACTTACTGGACAGGTTCCGAGACCATCCCGATGCGCCCAAGATTTTTGGTCCTCGCCTCGAGGAGACACTCCTAGGTAAATCCTACGCTGGATCAGAGGATAGCCCTTTCAATGCGGCTACGGAACTAGATGTTAAGGAAGAGCCGGCCGAATCCGAGAATGAAGACGCCCAATCCCCGCGAAAAGGGCTTGAAGTAACGGCAGACAAGCCCGCAGTCGCCAGAGATTTCTGGGGCAGGCCTATAAGGCAGCCTCCTGCGCAACCCTAAATCATCATATGTTTTATTACTATCTACACCTAATCTTCCCTCTCTGGGAACGACATTGGACAATGTGCCCAACGAAAATTACATATAAGGCCAGTATCTTTGGGGAGTCTCAAGGATTAATGCATATGGAATACCCCGAGGTAGCATCCGGCTACTCGCACATGTATATTATGAGATGCTATTTATGTCACGAAGTACAATGGAGAGAATAGAATAAAATAGAATGTACAACACCTTAACCACCTGCCTGCCCTACGCCTGACCCTCCTTCCTATTCACCTCTACGTTCTATCCATCCCTTGCCAAGTCCCCATCGCATCTACAATCACATGATCAATGTGGCCTCGACCAAGTAGCGTAGGTCCGCAATCCTGGGTGCGAGTTACCTATTCACCACTCACATCACACCCGCCCACCATGCCACCATCTCATCTCATCGTTGTCTGCTGCCACGGCATTTGGCTAGGGGGCCCAACCAAAGGCCTCGAGGAGTCAGAGTGGCTCATCGCGGATTTCCAGCGTGGGGAAACGCCAACATTCGTCGAGCACGCCCGAGCGGGGGTTCGCCTTCTCGCCGAGCACGGTCGAGATGCCATCCTCGCCTATTCCGGGTATACCCCCCTCTCCCTCTCCCTATCCCTATCCCTATCCCCCCTTCAAGTAACCTCTCTAGCATATGCTCAAGTCACTAACCTACGTAATGTACGCTTCCGAGCACAGCGGCCCAACGAGGAAAGAGATTAAGCTCTCTGAAGCACAAAGCTACGCCAACATCGCCAGGGAGAACGCCTACTGGGGCTTCCCCATCCCAGAAGGGCAGATCATACTCGAGGAGCGCGCCCTTGACTCCTACCACAACGTGCTCTTCAGCCTGACGCTCTTCTTCTCGCGCTTCGGCGCCTGGCCGCGGCACATGACCATCGTGAGCCACGCGTTTAAGCGTCCGAGGCTGATCGACGGGCACTGCGTCGCCATAGGCTGGCCGCTGGAGAGGGCCAGCTTCGTCGGCATCGACCCGCCCGGGCTGGCTGGGAAGGAGGGTGCTGTGGAGGGTGCTGCTCGGGCGATTGGGGAGTGGATGGATGATCCTCATGGACGGGGGGCGAGCCTGAAGGGGAAGAGAAGCAAAAGAAATCCTTGGGGAGTAGGGCAGGGCATGTTTGAGAAGGGGGTGGAGGCTTCCGTGAGGGAGAATGCCAAGTTGCTAGCACGGGGGGAGAGTGACGATGAGACCTTGGAGGACACTGTGAGACCGTGGGTATAGAGATCTACCACATCTATTCTCATCTCCATACAAAGTTATATATATGTATATAATCTATTTTAGATCTTTGGTCTAGGTCCCTCCCCTACGGCCTTCACCAAAAACTCAACAGCCTGCTCTACCATTTCCGCGCTGAACCAATGCCCAACGCCGTCGAACACACGGTCGTCAACCTGCAGGCCGCCAACCTCGGCCAGCACCTTCACAAACGGCGCGGTGAACTTATGCGGCACCAACTGGTCATCCCCCCCAGAGAGGAGAAGCAGCTTCTTGCTCCTCAAACCCCGCGAATCAACCAGGGCCAACAACCGCGAACGCTCAGCCTCAGATAAGGGAAGCTCAGGAAGAGGACCGTCAGAGAACAAGAACCCCTTGGGGTCGTTCGCCTTACAGACGGCAATCAGATCCCGCGGGAAGAACCTGCTCCCGAGGAATTGCTCGCCACAGTCGAGCTTCGACCCAGCCGCCCTACCACCCATAAGGCCTATATCAAAAGCATAAAATCAGTCCCCTTAATCCATCTCACTACAAGAGGACGAAAAAGAAAAAAGAAGAGGAAAAAACTCACCCATAAAGTCAGGACTCCCAATCACAGACACCGCGGCATCCACCCTCTCCTCCCCCAGCCAGGCCTGCCACGCCGCATGCCCTCCCAAACTCCACCCCAGCACGACGTGCCCGTCCACGTTCTCCCTCCCCAGGTATCCCGCCACCACGTCCATCAGCCCGCTCACGTCCGCCCTCGCGCCCTTGACCATCCCCAGCATGTCGATGGCGTGCGTGTCGTTGCCCGCCGCCCACGCCCCGTTGGCCCGCTCGCTCACCACCCGCGTCCCGTGGTTGGGCATGTCGAAGCACAGCGCCACGAGGCCCCGCCCTGTCTTTGCGGCAGCGGGCGAGTCGTGCCACGCCTTGACGGTGCGGGCGGCGATGTCGTGCATGCGGCCGCGGGTGCGGGTTCGCGGGTGCAGGAGCCAGAGGCATGTGACGGGGGCGGACGGCGAAGCGGACAGCTCGTCCAACCCATAGACGTCGACGAGGAGGCCGGCCATGGGGAGGGTGGTCGTGGAGACCGCGGGGGGAGGGGGGAGGCCCCGCGTTGTGTATCCGTCGCTGGGGGCTGGCATTTTGTGCGTAGATGGGGATGGAGATGGAGATGGTTTGAGAGAGTTCAATTAGGTTTATTTACATGTTCAGAATGAGACATTCGCTACTCACGAAGCCTCTGACAAAAGATGTCGGGCAGGTGGGGACCGATCCGTACAACAAGCAAGATCTCCCTCCACGCGGGGTCGAGCAGGGCAGATATATATAAAGTCAGGAGCAACACCCAGTAATAGCCGTATCAACATGAAGATCACAATACTCCAATCCCGCGCTCCCACATGATAAACCAGCGTTGAAATAACATGATAAAAATTATGTAGAGTGAGCTATTTACGTGCGCTAGAACATCCAAGTCCACAGCCCGAGTGCTCTCGTGCCAATTCCCAGCCAGATTGCCCCGTAAAGAACATTAAAAAAAAAGAAGCACTTGGCAGAGTAATCAACTGCCGAGCGCAGGCAAAGGGATTATGAGAAAATGATCGGTCGCTTGGTCCTGACCAGTAACACCGATTCACACAAACACTCCCACGTATCGAAGCCGGGAGACGCAACCAAAATCAACGACCGAGACGCCCCAACTCCATGTCGCAATTCCCACTCTCGCCCTAGGTATTCCGGAATCATAGTCCCATGTGCGGCTTGCATAGCCGTCCCGTTTTCTGTCTGTCTTCGGAATCGTATCCGTATAAATATATAGCATGTGAATGGCGTACTTGGCGTGCACCATGTTCAACGCCAGGGGAGCGTTTATTCAGACCAGAGGGGCTAGAAGTCTTCCGCCTCGTCTCGGCCGGAAAAAGCCTGAATGTCTCTGGACAAGGAGGCCATCTTAATCCACTTTCCAGTGGTCATGGGCATCACGGCTGAGGTACAGCTCAATTGCATACAAGCCCAATGTTAGGCCAACATTAATCCACCGCCACATGCCGTTGCCAACGTCGCCCCCCCTCAAGGTCCAGCCATCGTCGCTGTTGCTCGTAGAGAAATGTTGCAGGAGAAGGCTGGTGTAGACGGAGATCAAGATAGAGGGGGAAAACCAACTCAGGAATCCCAAAACTCTACCTGCGGTCTCAGAGTCTTCCCAATCAGGGTCATGGAGCATGGCTTGGGCGCCCAGATCTCTGACAGAAGGGATGATTCGAGTGGCACAGTAGAAAACGAGGAGTCGATAAGCGAGTGAAATAATAACTGAAGGTGTGATCGTCTGGAAGGCCGCATAAAGAAGCATGAGGGAGGAATGAAGTGCCAAAGGAAGACTGCTTAGTAGGTGCACGATGGTGGAATAAGAAGCCATGATGATGGGGGGTAGAGGAGGCAGATCTGGCTGGGCGGATGCCTGCTCCTCTGGGCTACGTTGGCCATCTGAAGGCAGGTAGTCGGTGAAAATCTGGTAGACGCAGAGAACAATGTAGGCGAATAGGAGAGAGGATTCGACGGGGTTGCCTCGGCCAGTACCGATTCCAAATGCGCAAACGAATACGGCAGTCGTCATAGTGATGCCAATAAGGGCTGCGTCGATGTTACTAATCTCGGGAAACTGTGCTATTCTCCAGAGGAAGTAGACGGCACTTGAAATAATGGTTCCTGAGAAGGCCAGAAGGATGATCTGAGCTTGAGTTAGCAACGCAGTTATGGAGAGGGGCAGACACATAGAGACACTTACCACCCAAGTATCACTCCTTCCTCGATTTACGAGCCACCTGGTGATCTGGCCGGCAGATTGGATAACAAGCAGTGTGCAGAAGCCTTCCAACAGCTGGAAGACGGGGCCGGAATATCTGAGGGTGTTCTCCCAGCTTCCCAGCATAACGGTCTCGATAAGGCCATCTTTACCAAACAACCACTCAGTCCAGGTCGTGCTCTTTGCCCTCAAGACACCGTCCAATGTTCGCTCCACCCAGTTGGTCGTTCCGGCGTCCACAGCAAACTGTCCGAGCGCCCAAATAAGCAGTGTCGGGATGACAATACACTGTGAGAGGCGAAGGGACGAGGAAACGAGCCCGCGCAGACGGGAGCCGTCGGGGGTGATGAGCTTTATCGTCGAGTAGAAGAGGTAGAAGATGAAGATGGACAGGCTGTAGGCCAGGCCGCTGTCACGGCCACCGACATCGAAGGCGACCGGTATCGAGAGGACGATGCTGAGCAGGAAGATGGAGCCAAAGAGGACACTGAATAGCCACCACATGGAGGCGGCGGAGACAAGGGCCGGCCAGCGACTCGGGCCGCGCCGACGGAGCTATGGGACGAGGAAAAAAGAAGGCCAGCGGGTCGGCGTCGGCTCTGGGCTCTCGTGGGATGCGACGGTCGAGGTGCTCGGGGACGAGGGCGCTCTGGATTTTGAAGATGTGGTTTCTTGTGGCCGGTCGATGCTGGTTTGGCCCGCAGATAAGCCGTGAGCGAGTGCAAGTGCAGGCAGCGTCGTGCCTTGCTTATCAAACCGGCACGGGCACGCAAGATCGCGTGATGGCGAGCGCTGGTGTGTAAAGAAAGCCGGCTTGTTTCGCCAGCACCAACACAAACAGGCGTGTCGCGGTAATGGCGAGGGGGGCAGAGGGGGGAGGCCGAGGCGGTGATGCGTTTGCAGGTGAGGTGGCTTGCCGTGGAGGGACAACTTTTTGTTTACGTATATGGCATCTGATATGGGGATGGACCCTGGGGACACTCTGTATCTTCACGTGCTTTTTTTTCGCACTGGCACCGGCGCTTTACGCTCAACTAACTCACTGACACTTGCCCCGGCGGCACCAAATATTCATTAGCACATAGCTGGTGCTGGTGGCTAATATCAACGGCAATTTAAGCTAATTATTTGCACACGCATCTCCTTATCTGAAAATCCAGCAGATGATCACCCATCCACGTGTTAGTCGGTCCTGTCTGGTGGGGTAATTTCACTGGCCTGCTTGCCTGGAAGGCCATGATCTCATGGGTCCTGGCGAAAACAGGCCTTGGGAGGCACCTTGCCCTTTTCCCCTTGGCCTGGTTAGGGCTGGCTAATGCGCTCCCACCTTGCCATCACTGCTGCCTCCATTGCCGGCCCTCGGACGTAGACGGCGCGATGGAACGCGCGGATGAAGCACTGGTCCATCCAGGTGGTGATCTGCCGCACACACGCAGCCCAGACACCAATCATCTTGCCAGCCCAGAGAGCCTGGTTTCGTCATTTTTGAAACAGATGCATGCATGTACCATCCATCCCCAGAGTCTAGTCCCTCTGCCATGAATCAGATGATAAGGCGTTATCTGCCCCCTTTGGGAAGCGCCAGCATGGGATGAGGGCAAGTGGGAGACATTAAAATTCAGACACTCAAATATTAAGCTGCTGATTCTCAAGTCTGCGACCAGTATTATCAGATTGTTGAGTGAGTACTAATAATATATACTTTACAGATAAATACGGCAGATATTATCGCTTTACTTTAGTTTATACTACTAGATTTCTCTATTTATTACAGAGAGTAGTTGATTGATCACCACCCTTCTGTTCAGTGTCTCATTTCTATTGTCACCCACTTGGAGGGACAACGAGGAGCAACAAGCAGCAGCGGAAACGACCCCATAGACCTGCAGCTTCTCCAACTCGACTTGCCTTTTCGGCAGCAACTCCAACAAGTGCGACTGATGCTACGTCCCAGACCAGTGTAAGCGGTACTTTCTAGCCCGCTCTCCCCACCTCGTCTGACCTCACCAGAACATCCAAGTGAAGACTATCACCAACTTTACTAGAAGCCTCAGATCATCATATCCAAGTTAGCATATCCACACTTATCGCAGCTTGCTATTTACATTTCCACTTTATTTGAAATCGCTTCTCTAATCCAAAATGGTAGACTTGCCCGCCATCCTTGAAGAAGCTGCTCTCCGCTACCGCGGCCCAGGCGGTGCAATTGCCGTCGTCCAAGATGGAAAGCTGGCTGCACAGCGAGTCTGGGGATTTGCAGACATAGCTCTTAGAATCCCCATGGAACCAACCACAATCCTCCCTATATGTTCCATCTCAAAGCAGATGGTATGTGCTGTGATCCATGACTTGAAGCGCTCTCCAACTGCCAAAATGGCATCGGCAGATGTGTCGCCCTCCGAGCTGTTGGAACGGCACCTGCATGAGATGCTCGGCAACCAAGACCAGCTCAAAGACCTGTCGATCCAGTATTTAAGCAACAATCAGTCCGGTATCCGAGACTACTGGGCTACCAACACACTGCTAGGAGCCCATCCCGAGGACCTCTTCTCGCTCGAGACGCACGCCGTGGACATGGTCCGCCGTATCAAATCCTTGCATTTCACCCCGGGCAGCGAGTACTCGTACTCCAACACCAACTTCCACATCCTAGGCCGAGTCGCCGAACGTGCCAGTGGCCAGTCGCTCCCTGACTTGCTCTCCGAGAGAATCTTTCGTCCCGCCAAGATGACGACGGCGTCCCTCCATCCGCCATCCGATGACCAACCCGGGCCCTGCGTAGGCTACGAAGTTAACGAGACTCTTGGCTACTTCCCTGCCAAGAACCGAATCGAGTGGTCTGGCGATGCTGGCATCGTCGCCTCGCTCGAGGACATGATTGCTTATGAAATTTACCTGCACCAGCTGTGGGCCGACCCCAAGAGCTGGTATCGCGAACACGCCGTGCCCGGGACGTTTAGCGATGGCATGCCGTCTCTATACGCAAATGGGCTGAGCTTCGCTGACTTGGACGGCATACCCAACCTTGGCCACGGGGGAGCCCTTCGCGGCTATCGTCTCTACCGCCGCCACACGCCCTCCAGGGAGCCGTCCAAGGGGGGGATCTCTGTCGTTGTCATGCTCAACCATGAAGCTGATGCAGCGGAAGCTTCATCTTTCATCACACGAAAGATTCTAGGGTTGGACGAGCCAACGGTGGCGCCATTCTCATATCGTCCCGCGACAGAGTGGAAAGGGCACTTCTTGGATAAGGGCACTAACATGGCTGTCAGCGGCGACGTTACCAAGCCCGGCATCGTTGCGATAGATTACGCTCGAAAGGCCGAGACTATGCGTTTGGCCGGTTCGAATGAGGCCGAGTCTGGGGACATGAAAGCTGAGATTCGTGGAGACACGATTCATGTACATCGGTTGAGAGACAACAGGATTCTGGAAGCAATACGTCTACAGCCCGATGCTGCCAAGAGGCGCGACCCGTCTCTTCCTGGGGAATATTTCTGCCAAGAGCTGGACTCTTACTTCCTGTGCATCGGCCAAGGCGAGGTCTTGTATGGCGCATTCAAGGGGCCTCTAGGGTCTGGGGGTGCTACGGCTATGAGATATCTGGGAGGTGATGTGTGGTTGCTGGCCTGCCCACGCGGTCAAGATGCCCAGCCCCCGGGCGACTGGACTATTGTATTCCATCGCGATGCCTCCCAAGGCAAAATTACCGGTATAATAATCGGCTGCTGGCTTGCTCGGAACTTTAAATTTGAGAAGCAGACGTAATGTTCACCAGAGAGGGTCAATAATAGGATAGCTACAGAACCAGAGATATTGAATAAAGCCCCATTTCTCTGTTCAAACAAAAAATAATTCTTCTAACTACAGCCTGGATTCTAAGATAACGTCGAATTTTGTATAGGCTATCACCAGGTGGGCTTTTGTCGAGAATATGGATTGAGAATCGACCACCAACCAGGGTGTACAATTGAAGCCCGATTGAGGATTCGGGATGCCAATACCATCCATGTACGCTTATCTATCAGCTAAACAACATCACTAATGCTTCTAAAACTCCATTCTAGCAATAAAGAGTCATCAAGACAGAGTTCTCTTTAAACATGAAAACACTATGGCTCTAGCAATCAATGGCAGGAGCTCTGCCTGTCTCTGAGCTTCTGTGCGACTCTCTCAAAACTCAGGATTTCATTCCTGGGTGCGTTTAAAACGCATAAATATCATCGCCCTTTCAGTGCCGTGCCTCATTCGATGTGGGATTTTCAGGTTTTCCAGCCGCCGACGCTTGGATCTCCTCGGTCACGATCACATAACTCATCTCGCTCTCAGCGCCCAACTCAACTTGGCTGCCAGCTTCAGCGTCTGTTTTGCCGCTCTGTGCTCTCCAACCTAGCCCTGAATGTGGTGAGCCAGTCGGCCTTGACTCGCCTGTCTCCATGCGCAGACCGCCCGATTTTGTTTGGAGAATGGACTGGTCAACTGTCGCGGTTTGGTTCGGATAGACGCTATGAGAAATCTTCCTCAAAAGCGGTCTCAGGGCAGTCAATGAAACGACCATGATAGAGACGTACAACTCAGAGGAGGCCCATAAGTCTATTGTGTTTGATGAGGTTAGAGTGAATACCATGAACGAATTTCGAGATCTCAGGTCGATCCTACACGCATGATAATGGAAGGATGAGGGAACACATACAGGCATCGAAATTGTTTCCCTGAGTAGCCATGTTGATAAAACGGCCAATGCTGACAGAGATGGTAAGAAGTCCCAGTCCAAAGATGACACCCAAGCCAATCTTCTCTCTAGGCTTTCTCAGCTTGAGATCCCTGAGGATAGGGAACGGGAAAATGACATCTGGTCTCAGCGTTAGTAGCTGGTCAGGATATTTCGGATAGGGCAAGTTTACTGAAAACTTCGGTGCTGAAATTCATCGACCAATGAATCCGCATCATGGTCATAGAATTGAATGCGCTACAGGCGTCGGGGTCCTCGGACCTGTTTCAGAGAGTATTCGGTCAGACTTTATATTGCGGTTGCTTAGAATCCAATCGGCTTGGGATACCCACCAATTCGATGCGATATCTGCTCTGCACCAGAAGGTTGCATCGAGGAACGTCACAATACTGCAAGCGACTGTGAAAGCTATCAAAACGTAGAGAAGTTTTCGTATCCGGGGTTTGGTTGGCGGTACAAGTTCATAATAGAAGGAGAGAATGCTGAATTTTGGGAAATACATTCTGATATGGTATGTCAGGGAATACATTCTTCTGCCCTTGCAGGGACTACTTACCCAACATCAAACCAATAATTCTGTAGAAATCGAACCTGCACATCGCATATCAGCCTCAACTCAAGCATCTAAACCAAGAAACCAAAGATATAATACCTTCAAGGTGTATGATCCTGGATCACTGAAATTTTCCATGGTGCCAGCTTTGTAGATCAGCGTATCGCATATTGTCAGTCCTGTACCACAAGCAGCCGCGACCAAGACCCAAAAGTCTGCCCAGTGCGGAGTGTCCTTCAGTAGGATTAATCGGACATAGAAGCGAGAGCATACGAGCATCAGAGCCAAGGACAGCATTGTCCATTCTCCTGCCTAAGAGAAGGCAAACTAAATGAGCGGTCTCGTAGAGTATATTGTAAGAAAGGGGGACTCACAATCACATCTGAATCAGAGAGCATGCTGTGCGGTTGGGCGCCGTCTCCGAGACCGCCAAATGGATGGGTTTAACAAATGAAGACGGAGACTGGACATTATACAGTGGAAAGAGGGCGTGCGAGTTTGTTGAAGTTGGGTTTGGGTATACTGCAGCTCATCCAAAGGGAAAAGGGTCGACCGTAGGGCATGCTTTGCAGCTTTGACAGGGCTCTGCCGGTATTATCTACATCGGCAATAGACTCTTTTGATCAGGGGAACGATCTTCTGTATCGTTTGATCTAATTGATGGTAAGAAGACCAATAGACTGGTTCTTTTCGAGGGCTTCGTTGCACCTGAAAACGCGAGGTTTTGGCATTGGCCTTTGAACATGGGCGTCAACGAATCCGCGACCACTGGCCCAAGGAATTTGGGCATGCCCATCAATCTCCGCAGATCATTCGAAAATGAATAAAGTTTCTTGGGGGTATTGAAGAGGAATTCGGCCGACAGGCTAGCGGGGTCACAATGCCGGACAGAGTTCTACTATTGATTTCGTTTTCCGTCTCTTTTTGGCCAACATTCCAGAGGGCGCCGGTTGCTTGCGGGAGATCATTTGATTTAATTTAGCCCAAGTCGCCTACTTAATCCCGTGGCAGTGCTGTATATGGTCATGGCTAGATCGGCCTCGAGAAGATGAAATCATTGAAAGAAATGTGACTCAATAACGTTAGGAAAGCTCGGTATACTTCCTATCTACCCCAAATTACTCTAATCTTGGGAATCGCCTATCAGGCAGTCCAATCTCAGTGAGTGCCCAATCAACTCCATCGTCTTCGCTTGGGAAGGAAAGTGTAGGTTCTTCCAAAAGGCAGCCTTCGGTCATAGTGTGCCAAAAGTCTAAACATTGGAAATTCAGGGTCGGTTGATCAGTCGCTCTTTCCAATACTCGTGCTTCTCGTCACAAGTCAAGAGTGATTTTTTGCAAGATAAGGGGATCATCCCGCGTAGCTGCCTTTAAATGTACCCTACCTACCTCAAGCACGGTGAACTTTTCCTCGTCCGATGCCTTTAGTTCGATCCTATCATCCCATTCTATTGAATCTACATGACCAGAATTTATAGATGAGTTATCCCCCACGGGTGTGATTCTTACTCTTCTTGGATCATACACAGCTCGCATCTAGAAGCACAAAGCGAACCATGTGCTTCCAGGTTGTATGGAATACACAAGCTCCGTTGTCCCCCACACTGCCTTTCCATCGTCTCGAACAATCGCACCACCTAAATCAGAGGAGTCGACAGAAATGTCTTGGAATAAACTACCACATATTGTTGATTTGTAGGACGAGCGTGAAATATGCTAAACCTGCCTTTAAGATTTAGATGAAAAATCCAAAGAAGGGACCAATTATCTTGATGATCTTAGCGAGTGATTGAAAAGAGGGGCGTTCCTGGCCACAGTCCAAGATAAAGCCTGTGATCCAGTCTGTCCAAGTCAGGGTATATAGAGAACACGGTACTCAATCTCCAGCTCATGAGATATTGGTAAATTTTATCGGGACGGGGAACCCCCCAGAACAACCATGTTGAGAGGGCACAATAGGTCCAAACTGGGTGCGTCGCAACTCAAGTCAGAAATCACCTTATTTCTCATGCCGTTCCTACTCGATTTTCATACATTTGACACAAGAGCCAGTAGGATCAGCCCGATTATCATCGTTTGTATCCGCATAATTTTCGTTTTTCCAGGCTCGGTGAAAGGCGGTATATGAAAGTCGCCCTGAGCCGATCCCAGAACCAGGGGGGAGCTGGAGAGTTTCCAAAAGCAGATGAGCCAGGCTGTTCTTAAATGGGCTCATGAATACGAGTACGCTGGATGGTATAGTTGTTGCCTGGCTGCGCTGATACGAATTGAAAGAGTACGTGGTTCCATCTAAGGGAAATTCGCCAATTCTTTGTAGAATGTACGTCTGGATGGTGTCAGGCACTCGATTGACCCCAATGGTGACTGTTTAGGTATGTATCAAATGTAATGGACAGTTCGCCATCTGAGAGCGTCGCCAGGCTCAAAGTATGTATGGCGGGGAGCATCGCAAAGGCAGTCTGTCGCGTGGGAGCCAGACATTGCATCCCCTATCCCTGGCCGACCCCTGGCTCCCCCCAGCTCATGATGCACAGATAAAAAAAAAAGTCGGTCCAGGTCGCCAATGCAGGTGCTTGTGTTTGTCGTTGTTTGCAACAAAAGAGTGTAGATCAGAGGATTGGCTTGGGTAAAGTACCCACTCCGGAGGCAAAGCCATCCGACACGCCTGATTTTGGCCTAAACCCGCACCACGCAACGCCTGCCAGCGCCTCCATTGGCCCGACCCAGAGCCTGGAGCCTGCCGCTGCCTCCCACCAAGCACTGAGATCCATCAAACCATCCCTCCCGCCCCACCTTCCTCTCGGTCCCCTCAATTGGCTTTCCACTAAACTGGTCCAGCGCCTCGACGTTGCGAATTGGCTTGAACCCCTGGATTTGCCCGCCGCCACCCACACCGACCCTATCTGGAGGGAGATTTCTTTCTTATAGATCCAACAGCTATCCTCTTCCTCCCCTCCTTCCCCCCCCTTCTCTTCGACCTGTCCCCCTCCCATCTCATGAACTGAGGCGCCATTCCCCCCAATCTCTCAGCCGGCCATCACCATGCCGTCCTCCGCCTCAGAGACAATCACCAATCCCGCGTCCAAGCGAAGGGGAGGCTCCGCCGAGAAGCCCAAGTCCGAGGACGCCCCCGGTTCCGAGAAGGACTTCTTCTGGACTTACACCGAGGAACCCCATCGCACTCGTCGATTGGCCATCATCAAGGCTCACCCTGAGGTACAACTGCATCGAATCTCCAATCTGCATCCAGAAATGTGTTTCTAACCTTGTTGGCAGGTCACCAAACTCTGTGGTCCCGAGCCATTGACCAAATATGTCGTCGTGGGCGTCGTCAGCCTCCAGATCTTCCTCGCCTGGTACCTGAGCGAAACTCCTTTCTTCTCCTTCAAATACTGGATCATCGCCTACATCTTCGGTGCCACCGCCAACCAGAACCTTTTCCTTGCCATCCATGAGATCTCTCACAACCTGGCTTTCCGAAGCCCCATGGGGAACCGTCTCCTAGCCATCGTGGCCAACCTGCCAATTGGCATCCCATATAGCGCCTCGTTCAGGGTATGACTACACACGCACAATTGAACCGAGATGGCCTATGAATTCCTTTGCTAACATGGCATTGCCGCCCCTAGCCTTACCATCTCACCCATCACAAGAGTCTCGGCGTAGACGGCCTCGACACCGACCTCCCCACCGCCCTCGAGGCAATCTTCCTCGACTCCATCTTCGGCAAGACCTTCTTCTGCACCTTCCAGATCTTCTTCTACGCCCTCCGCCCAATGGCCATCTACCGCGTGCCCCTGACGAGCATCCACTTCCTCAACATCGTCGTCCAGGTCACCTTCGACGTCCTCCTCGTCCACTTCGCCGGCATCAAGGCCTTCATCTACCTCCTCTTCTCCTCCTTCCTCGCCGGCAGCCTCCACCCCCTCGCCGGCCACTTCATCGCCGAGCACTACGTCTACGAGTATGTCACCCCCGAGCAGCGCAACCCGGACAACCGCATCCCCGTCCCCGAGACCTTCTCCTACTACGGGCCCCTCAACTGGTTCACGTACAACGTCGGCCTGCACAACGAGCACCACGACTTCCCCGCCGTCCCCTGGACCCGCCTCCACGCCCTCAACAAGATCGCCTCCGAGTTCTACGACCCCCTCCCCCGCCACGAGAGCTGGGTCTACGCCATCTGGCGCTTCATCTTCGACGAGGAGGTCGGCATGCGCTGCCGTGTCAAGCGCGAGAAGGGCGGCCGCCTCGTCGGTGGTGGCGCTGGTTGGAAACTGAGCGAGATTGAGAGCTAAATTCAGGAGATACACTCAAATTCAGGATTAGGGAGTGGATATTGTTGTTTTTGTTTTTCCAAAAGACCAAAAGAATGATGGGAGGAGGCGTGAAGGCGCACAGAAAAGCACACAGGACAGCGGTCGGATGCGTGTATTTGCCTGGTGTAGCAAATACGTTTACTTTTTACTGTAGAAACATATCAATTCCCTCTATTACAATGGGAAGTTTTAATGAGTTATGCAATCCGAGTTCAAGTCCTCCCCGCATGCTGTCAATTCCTTACAAGAGAGTACACGATATGAGTCTTGCTACATAGACAAACGGCCAACTCACAAAACCAAATTCCATTCAACAGGTGGTTGCCTATCTAGCCCGGATAGAGATCTGTTCACGCCGAAGACCCCGGCGGCAGGGGAAAACCGTACGATTATAAACACAGGGATATCCAACACCAGCAGCCAGAAGGAGTGCAGGGTACAAATCTTCCATTAATAGCATCAGATAGTTCGTTCTCCATAGAATGCAGGATTAAACATCGACAGTAGGCCACAAGCAATTGGTAGCATCGCCTCTTCCAAAACAACAACAAAATAGAAAAAAGGGGGGAAGAGTACAAAGTAAAAGAAAAAAATGTACCTGGGCTAGAGTACAAGCACGTCTGTGGTGGACTTTAATCATGCCACACACTCTCGATTCCATCTCCACTATTTCATATCATAGGAGCCTGGCACTCTCCTGAGCGCCTAGGTTTCCCCCGTCTCCTTTGCGCCTGTAGAAATTCAAATGCGCCCTCACAGAACGGTGGCAGGGCCACGCTGGCATTGCCAGAAGCCCTTGGCTGGTGTGGGGTGAAGACACAGAGCCCGTGGCACTCGCATCAGGGATATCATATCAAGTTCAGGTCCCTCCCACACCGCCTGATCGCTCTCATGAAAACATTCATCGCTGCAGTAAGAAAATAGGGGCTGATCAGAAGAAGAGGTAGGCAATCAAGAAGGCCAAGAAGCAGAGGAGAGCTGTGGTCTTAACAGGCACGCCTTGTACAGTTGGCACCACAGCCTGGGCGGTGCGAGGGGCAGCAGGCCTCTCGGTCGTAGCAGTCGCGCCGCTTGAGACGT